GGGGTTTTCCAGGGCCATTGCTCCCTGAAACCTCTCTGAAGGGGCCAGGTTCTGGCGCTGGTCCCTGGTAGGTCTGAACTCCTTAGCTAATGTCCCGGTTTAACATAACATACATTAGCCCGATAAGCTCCAGGGAGCCTCCGGGGCTCACCCAGAAAATGGCGTTTCATTACATTCAACGCCGGTTTTTTGTCCATTGCTGTCTGCAGAATCTGTGGTTGTGTAGTCTCTGCAGGCGGCTTCGGCTAGTTGCTGTCCTCTGATGGACTTGTTGGTCCTCCGGGGGCTCTTGTGGGGGGGCCTTCCCAGATGGGTCATGCCAGGGCTTGGGGTTCTTCCTTTCGTGGTAGGCCAGTGGTACCAGATTCGGGGCAGGTGCAGCCTTTAGTTCTGTCTTTTCTGGTCAGCGCGGGTATTGCCCTGTCCGCCACTTGGGTTCTCGTCTGGTGCGTCGGCCCCTTAGCAGTTCGCCCCATTGATATGGTGATGGGGTGGGAGGCTCGTTCTGTTTACTCGCTCCTGGTCCGGCGAGGTGGGCCTTCAGGTCATTTCGTGCGGCCTGTGGTGGTGTTTGGTGGCTCTTCCTCCTTTGGGGGGTTTGGGGCTGGCGGGGCAGGCCTCTTCTCCTGCAGTCTGTCAAGTCGTCTCTGCATGGGTTCGCTTGGGCGTGGTCGCATCGACCTCGTCTCTCAGGTGGGTTCCTGCCTGTTTCTGGTTCCTAAACAGGTCTGCGCAGACCTCTGATTCATTCTGTACTTGTCCGGTCTGCACCAGTAGATTTATTGCCCCTCATTCGGATGACTCCTCTGTCTCAGGTCCGTCTTTTGTTGGAGCCGGGCACTTGGATGGTGTCCCTAGACTTCGTGGACACGTATTGGCATGTCCCAATTCATCCGAGGTTCAGGGACTGGCTTGGTTTTGTTGTGGGGATTCAAGGGTCCTGCTTTCATTGCCTTCCATTCAGCTTGGTTCTGGCGCCTCGCGTTCTCACATACCTTACTTGGGTCATGATGGCCCCCCTGCATCTGTTAGGTGTTCGGGTTCTGGCCTCCCTCGGCGAAAGGCTGGTATGGGCTCCCAGCTGGTCTGCGTGTCTGCTCGCCAGGGATTGGCAGCTTGCCAGGTTTCTGGTGCCTTGGCAGATGTTCTGTCTGGTTCCCTCTCATGTTCGGTCTTGGCTGGGTTTTGTGTGAGACACTCGGACTGCTTCCTTGTCTCTTCCTCCGGTGGCTCTGCTTCGCCTGCGTTCCCGCCTTCATCTGTTCCTGAGGGGCTCCCGGGTCACGTGGTGGTTGCTCGAGGGTTGTGCAAGAGCCTGAATTTTGCTGTGATGGTCTACCCGCTGGGTCGGGTGTGGCTTCATCGGCTGTTCTGGTTCCTTTGGGGACATCCCTTCCGCCTCTCTCGCGACTACTGGGTTTGGCCTCCGGAGCCTTTGCATTGGTTGCTTCGGCGCCGGCTTCCTCTGAGGGTTTTTGGGGTTCAGTGCCTTGGTGCCTACCTGAGCCTTCTCTTGATGTGTTCACTGATGCGTTGTCTCTTGGCGGGGGCTTTGTGGCATGTGGTCACCAGGTCATGGCCAAGGACGGTGGGATCAATCCTTTCTTCGAGCTTACAGCTTGGTGTGGGTGTTCGCGGCTGTGTGGATGTTGCTCTGGGGGATTCAGATCCCTATGGAATGGAGCCAGATCGACGATCTGGCTCCATTCAGACTTTTCCTCGGTGGTTCTTTACCTGAACCGTGGGGTTCCATGAGGTCCTTAGCTCATTGGGGCTGGTCACTTCGGGTGACTCGTCTGCTGAGCTCTTAGGGTTTGGCTGTCCTGGCGGTTCATGTTCAGGGGGGTGTCCAAGGTCCTGATTCACTTGGAGGCTTACCAAGGGAGAGTTGTCCTTCTGGCTCCTTGTTCACCGGGCCAACCTTCGTTTCAGGTGCTTCTTGCTCGGTGTCTGAACTCGACGGTCTTCCAGCGGCTCCGCCTCTTTCTGCTGATCAGTCCAGCCTGGTACAAGGCTGGTTTGTTCTTCTCTGCAGGTCTTCGTGTCTGGAGTTTTTGTCTTGAGTTTCTCGTCACTTGTATGGAGCACAGGGGGCTTTGTTGCTGGTCTCCTACCTGCGTGCTTCGTCACGGCGGTGGTCTGCAGTTCCTGGTGGTCCTTCCGGTTCCTATCACTGCATAGTGTACTTCGGTCTCTGATAGGGTTGCCTTGTCCTTCCTTCTTGAATCGTGTGGTGCTGGCGGAGCTGCTCCAGCTTGCGTTCGGTTTTTATGTTAATTCTGCCCTATTCCGCACGCTGTCTCACGAGTTTTCACCTCCGGCCTGCTCATGCGCCTCTGGTGCAGTTCTGGTCATTGGACCGGGTGCGCTCTTTTCTCTCTTCTCAGTTTGTTGTGGCCCCTTCGATTCAGGATTGTTTTTCCAGGTATCTTTTCTAGGGGGAGCTCCTACGGCTCCCCGGAGCTATCCATGGCTGATATGGATACCCTAACTATTTTGCATCAGTCGATGTGGGTGGAGTTCTAGGCCTACCGGGGACCACGAGCCAGAACCTGGCCCCCTCAGAGAGGCACGGGGAGCAATGGCCCATAGAAATGCACATGTGATTTGGAGCATTCTATATCTGCCATCGACCGGGACAGGCACCCAGAAAGGTAAGCGCCACAAAACAAACCCCTATTCTGGTTAACAACAAAAATTGACAAACGAGTGGACAGAACTCCCCAGGAAAAGGAACTAACAAGCATGACGTCACACGAGCCGCGTCGCATGTCTGCTCAGCTCCCCCCTTCCCGGGAGGGGGAAGGGGGAGCCCCATACCCCCGCGCCGGCGATCGCCACCCCAGTTCCTCGGCTGATGGGATAATGCACGGTCGTGTTGTTCCAGCTCCGGTCTTGTCTCAGTGCTGTGACTTGTTTGCAGTGCTGCTCTTACGATGGTCATGTGAGCTGGTAGTAGTATTCTCAGGTACTCGGGCTGCATGTGCTTAGGGTCACCTTCCCTGAGTGCCCTGTAAGTACTGCCCTTGGGGCTTGGGGTTGCCTTCCACAAGTCGCCTTGGGTCTACCTCTGTTGGCTTTTCGCTGCTTGGCGTTTGGCCGCCCCGAGGGTTTGGGGGTTTCACTCCCTTGTTTACCTTGGGGTACGTGGTAGTTATAGCACTGGTGGGGCGCAGGGTACTGCGTAGCTAGTTTTCACCTATGACAGCGGCCGGCTCTGTTCCCTCTGGGTATGTTGTCCACTTGTGTGGTTTTTCTTTTATATTTGTTTTTGCCTGGTAGGGGGGTCTGCCTTGTGTTTCCCCCCCCTCCCCTTATATTAGGTTCGTTTGTGTGGTGGCACCCCCTGCTTTGCCCTCGCGAGTGGACACTTCCCGTGGGTTCAGCTTTAGCAGTTTGCTTGGTAGTTTGGGGTGCCGGTTAGCAGTGCCCTGCCTGGGATAACCCTTAGCAGACCCAGTCTAGGGGCCTGGGAAACCCCCCGGGGGCTCTCGGGTCCAGTAGTGGAGACCCTTGCGTCCCCTTTCGCTTTGTGCGAGTTGAGGGTTGCTCTGTCCCTTTGTCTCAGGGTGACTCTCCTTGTTTTTGCCTCCGTCATGCTGCCTGTTGGGTCGGTGACACATTCGACCCTTGAGTCCTGCGAGCTTTGTTGCTTGTTCGTGACTCCATTCACCCAGTCTGCTGATGAATTTCCGTGGGTGCAGGCAGCTCGCGCGTTGCAGGGTAGGATGTTGCAACGCACTCAGGTTTGTCGCTTCCCCGGACGCCCCGATGCTGCCCCGCTTGTGTAGGGACCCAGACTTGGGGGTTTTGGTCGCTTCGGCCTTGGTTCTTCCACGCCCCCCTTCTTTTTCCCCCTCCTGCTTCCAGCCCCTACGCATCTGCAGGCTTCGGGGTCAGGGCGGGGTTGGAGGTTCTGAGACTTGGGCAGTTTCGGGGGTTGCCCCGTCCGGGGTAGCTGTGGAGGCATTCGAGTCTGTTCCTCCGGCCGATGCTCCGGGGTCTGACCAGTGGGCCCCTTCTCTTTCAGCTCTCAAGGTGCCTGTCCCGGTCGATGGCAGATATAGAATGCTCCAAATCACATGTGCATTTCTATGGGCCATTGCTCCCCGTGCTTCTCTGAGGGGGCCAGGTTCTGGCTCGTGGTCCCCGGTAGGCCTAGAACTCCACCCACATCGACTGATGCAAAATAGTTAGGGTATCCATATCAGCCATGGATAGCTCCGGGGAGCCTCCGGGACTCACCCAGAAAATGGCATTTCATTACATTCAACGTTGTTTTTGTTTTTAAATTTGTCTAAAAATTTTCTGAAAATATTTTGATGAAAGTTTCACGACACTAAAGCCAGTAAGTGCGAGATTTGTTTAACATTTTTAAGTTATTTTTATATATTATGAATATTTTTCAAAATAAGGCCCCCAATATGCTCGGAAAAATGTGCGGTCTAAAGGTTAATCCATTAATACACATGGAAACAAGAGGAACAAAAATTTGGGAGGATGGGGACAGTTGTTATGAATATGTGGTTGCCGAGGGTGTGCTCTGGCTACTCTCCATACCCAGTATTGCAGCTGTGAGCTCTGACCAGGTATCAACCAACCCCACACTAGACATATTCCAGTAGTTTAAAAATAGTTGCTACATCTTGACACAACTAAAGAATGGTTAAGAAAGAAAAGTTTGGTAAATTGGAGATAGGATGACTCTTAAATGCATCATCAGACTGATCACAAAAATCAATGGATGACACTAAATTGCATCATTGGATCACTATAGTCTTAATATATATTCACATTTTTAAATATTATTTAGTTATTTTCATTATTGTAAAATGTTGTCATTCTATTCTGTAGATCATCTGAATATCACTCACTGTCATTTATTAGTGTCCAGCTAACATGAAAGAATGATAAGTAGGTTAATATTCAAAGTTAATGTTTGTTTAAAGCATTTAAGTTTTAAAACAAATTCTAATATGTACCAATAATTTAATTTTCAGGATCCAGTAGATGCCTTGGAAAAAAAACGACTTCGAGATGAGGCAGCTATGCTTCGTGAAGAAGTAAGTCTTTTATTTAAACTTGTAATTATAAATTGGCTCACTCATTACCATAGTTAGATATCCACAATTAAGAATTAGTTATAGTCTTCAATTAATGTTATTCCATAGATGGTTTGCAGTGTCCATATTACAGGAAATTACATTCACTTATTAACTAGATAATGTTAAGATGCCGATATGGTGGTGCATGGAAAGTTCCCGTTATTATGCAAGTTATGTGATGACTGCAGCAGTAATTCTTGAGCTCAACATGTTATCCACTGGTACTTGAGTGATTTGTGTGAAACCAGCAGGCACTGCAGGTAATTACCCAAGTGTACTTACAGGATGAGAGCTACGCCTGTGGTGTCCCGTCTTCCCAGTACTCTTTGTCGTATAATGGTTTGAAACTATTCTACTGACGGTTTTGGCCTCCACCAACTTCTCTCTTAGCTTGTTCCAATCTTCTACCACTCTGATTGCAAAAGAAAACTTTCTAAAATATATTTTCAGCATGTTTGTTTCCTTATCTTGAATCTGTTTCCTCTTATTTGTGAAGTTGCTGGTTTCAGGAATTCCTCTTTGTCACTTTGAGCAATTCCTGTTAGTATGTTATAAGTGGTGATCATGTCTCCTCTTTTTCTTCTATCTTCTAGATTTGGTATAATTAGTCTCTCCTCGTAACTCTTGTTTTTTTAGTTCTGGAAGCCATTTTGTAGCATGATGTTGCACCTTTTCCAGTTTATTTATGTGCTTCTTGAGATTTGGGCACCATACAACTGCTGCATATTCCGATTTTGGTCTCACAAAAGTCATGAACAGTTTCTTTAGTATTTTGCCATTCATATAATGACAAGCAAGTCTGAAGTTGGAATGTGATGCATACACTCCTCTCAGAAATTCTTTGTGTGTTCCTCTGACGACAGCTTACTATCCAAAACCACCCCTAGGTCTCATTTTTTATCAGAGTTCTGTAATTCCTTTCCACATAATTTATAAGTCGTGTGTGGTCTATTTTTTCTAATTCCACTTTCCATACCATTGCATTTATTCACATTGAATTAATTTGCCACTTGTTAATCCAAGCACTTATTTTATCTAGATCAATTTGAAGAGCATTACAATTGTCTACATCTCCTATCTTCCCCAGTATCTTAGCATCATCTGCAAACATGTTCATAAAATTTTGTATTCCTTCTGGTAGATCGTTTATGTAGAGGATGAACATTACTGGTGCAAGAACTGAACCCTGTGGTACTCCACTAGTAACACTCCTCCAGTCAGATACATTGTCTCTGTCTATCACCCTCATCTGTCTGTCAGTCAGAAAATTTTTCATCCATGTCAGAAGACTCCCTGTCAACCCTCCAGAATGTTCCAGTTTCCAAAACCGCCTCTTGTTCTCAGTGTGTGGGAGAGGGGTCGCTAAGGTTGCCTGTTTTTCTGTCCAGTGCAGCCTTTCTGTGGGGAGCCCTGTTGGCTCCCTGAAGATATCTTACTGATCAAGTCCATACTACTTGAGTGTCATCAGTCTCAGAGTCCTTTGTAAGCCTACTGGGGACCACGAGCCACAACCAGGCCCCCTTAGAGAGGCAGAGAGAGAGCAATGGCCATGAGCACTTTACATTTAAAGTGAGTCATCTTGCCATCGACCAGGAAAGGACCCAGAAAGGTAGGCGAATCTAAACACACCACTGTCTGGTTGAAAATTGCAAGCTATATCCTCACAAGTGCAATAGAACTCTCCCTAAGAAACAAACAAAAACAAAATTTCATCCAACTAACCCCCCCCCCCTCCTCCCCGCCTGCTTGGTAGCTCCTCAACCACAGAAGGGAGGAGCCGGCCTAGGTAGGTCAAGCCGCCACCATCCAGTTCTTTAACTGATGTAGTCGTGCCAATTGGTCGCTGTCGCTTTGGTTCCGTGTTTTTTATTTCTTTGGTGTTTTGCCCTTGTGGCGGTGTTATGAAATGGAGGTGTACATGGTGCCAGGAATTTACAGTACAGTACAGTACAATCTAAATTCAATGTACCCCGATTCAACGGCTAGGTTGCACACTTTTCAAGCCAGATTTACTCACCTGGTTCAACGAACAATGGGATTTGCTTACGATGTCGGGACAGAGTTCACAGACTGGTGGAAAACTTTCCCATTCTATCACAGGTTACAATTAATAATTCCCTCATATGACAAGTTAGACCACACAAGTGCTCCACAAGTGGTCCACAAGCTTACGATGTTGGGACAGTTCAAAGTGTGGTGGAAAACTTATCCATTCCATCACAGGTTACAATTAATAATTCCTTCATATGACAAGTTGGATCACACAAGTGGACCACACAAGTGTATCACGCAACAAGTGAACCATATGAAACAGAATGGTTCATATGGTTACACCATATGGTATGGTATATATGGAAAACCAGCCAGAATGGTTCACACAACAAGTGAAGCATATTAACCAAACACCAGCCAGAGTGGTCCACACAAGTGAACGACTGTGTTTCCATGATTTTCGTTCACCGATTTGTGGCACATGTATCTTTGCAAATTAATTTAAAGGCTAAAGTGTGAATAGCTAGCTAATGTGTTGAAATCTAATTATATACATTTTCTGTGATAAAACAAGATGTGTGAGGGTGGACAGATAGGGGAATATTGTACCGTAAACCTCACTTTACAGTGAGGTTTCACTCACTTGCGTCTGTCGTCATAGTTCAGTAATCCATGACTTTGAAGGTTTCAGATTAATAAATCATTTCTAAAACCAGTGTTTTAATAGCTCTTTATTATCCTAATTAAATTAAACTAAATAAAAACAAAAATATATTGTAATATGATAGACATCTGCTATTTGAGGAATGATTCATGTTATTGGCGGCACAACTCCAGCACCAGTGGATGGGTCTAATCCGTGTACAGTACAAACAGCACCATGCGTGTTTCGTTTGATTTTATCGCCACAGTCCAGTGACCTATGGCTTTGAAGTAATAAAATTAATAAATCAGTACTAAAATAAGTATTTTTTATAGCGATTATTATCGTAATAATGTTGGTAAACTAAATATATGACCCAGAAATATATAATTGATGTAAATCCAATATTTGAGAGAAATTTATGTTACTGGATCTGGCTTAACCACCGTGCTGCGCTGAGTTTATTGTGAAATTCCCCTGGTGCGCATGAAATAAAGTGTTCCCCAAATTTTTTTTTTTTTCGTAAAATGATAAATTCCCTTCCCTGAACATGTCTATCTAAAAATAAATACCAAATTCCACTTACTTTGGCTGTGGGGACGTGGACAAGGTGCGCTGTGACGTCATCAGGGCCTGGTCGCCCGTGCGTGAATCACCCAGACACGGTCGCGCGGGCCATTCAAGCACTGGGTGTTGCCACAAATATGTTTTCAATTATTTGTTTTGTGTATTTTCAATGGGGTTTTATTTGTTTTTCTGGGGGGAGCCCCGTCGGCTCCCCGGAGCTATCCCAGGCTGATATGCTAATGTCAGACTTTGGCATCAGTCATGTGTATGGAGTTCTTAGGCCTACCGGGGACCACGGCCAGAACCGGGCCCCCTCAGAGAGGCAAGGGGAGCAATGGCCTATAGAAGCCCCCATGTAGTTGGAAGCATTCTATGTCTGCCATCGACCGGAACAGGCACCCAGAAAGGTAAGCGCCCCAAAACAAACCCCTATTCTGGTTAAAATTGCTACCAAAAACCGAACTAGTGGATAGAACTCCCCAACCGAAAACAAGCAAACTAGTGTGACGTCACACACTGCCGCGCCGCTGTCTGCGCAGCTTCACCCTCCCCGGGAGGGGGAATGGGGAGCCCCAGACCCCCCGTGCCGGCTACCCACACCTCAGTTCTTGAGGCTGATGCTATAGGCGATGGTCGTGTGCTCTGGCTCCGGTGTCGCTACTGCACTGTGCTTTGCGTGTGGTGTTAGTTTTGTGGGTGCGAGAGCCAGGAGTTATCTTCAGTACTCGGGCTGCATGCGCCTAGGTCTGCCTTCCCTAGGTGCCCTGTAAGTACTGCCCTTGGGGCTTGGGGCCACCTTCCACAGGCTCCTCGGGGTCTGCCTCTGCTGGTCCGTTTTACCTTTCGGTTTTTCGGCCGCCTGTTGGGCTCTTGGGTGTTCTGTTCTCCCTTGTTACCGGCAGGTAAGAGGCAGTTTGCACTGGTAGGGGCGCAGGGTGCTGCTCACCTTGTATTTCCCGACATCGCGGCCGGCTCTGTTCCTTGGGGTTCGCTGTCCTCTTGCGGGGTTTTGTTTTTCTTTTTCTTTTTGCCTGGTGGGGGGTTCTGTCATTTTATTCAGTTTGTTTTTACCCTTCCACTGTTCTCCTCGGTGGCGCCCCCTGCTAGGTCCCCGTGAGTGTACACGTCCCTGGGGTTCAGCTTTAGAAGTTTGCTTGGTAGTTTTGGGCGCCGGTTTGCAGCACCCTGCCTGGGACTACCTGAGCGCGAGTCCTCTTAAAGTAAACGCTCAGGACCCTGGGAATCCCCTAGGGGGCGCGTGGGTCCGATGGATGTGACCCCGGAGTCCCCGCTCGCTGTGTGCGAGTTTGAGGGTTGCTCGGTCCCCTTGTCTCAGGGTGACCCTCATTGTTTTTGCCTCTGCCACGCTGCCTGTTGGGTCGGTGATACTTTTGACCCTGAGTCCTGTGAGTGTTGCTGCTTGCTTGTGACTCAATTTACCCAATCCTCTGATGATTCTATTCGGGTACAGGCAGCACGTGCGTTGCAGTCTACGTTTCGTCTGTTGCAACGCGCTCGGTTGGTTGCTTCCACGGATGCCCCGGGGCTGCCCCGCTTTGCTTTTCGAGACCCGGACTTGGGGGTGGGGGTCGCTTCGATCCTGGTTCAGTCCGCACCTCCTCGTCCTTTCCCTTCTGTTCGTTCTGGTCTCCCGCCCCTGCTTCCGGCCCCGAAGCGTCTGAGGGTTTCGGGGTCGGAGCAGGGGTTACTTGATCTCGAGACTCGGGCAGCTTCGGGGGTTGCCCCTTCCGGGGGG